GTTAGGGAAGACATGATGGGACAGCCCAAGGCATTTGAGATAGGTACCAAGAAGACCTCATAACATGAAGGTCCGAGGGAGGGAAGGAAAGCTCCTTCTCAGGCTGGGGTTTGAGACCTTCCCTAGATTCCTATCAGTCCTCCCAGGCACAGCTTGGATGCCTACTACTGCAGGAAACCTTCCCTGATCCCTCTGTCCAAGCAACCTGTGACCTTACCCAGCCCTAACTGTCAATTCTGCTCAGAATGCCACCTGGCAGAGGAGAGGTCATTGTCAAAGTCCACCTCCTGTCTCCTCCACTAGACTATAAATATCCGGAGGGCAAAGCCAGGTCTTTCTCATCTTCTGCATGGGAACTAACACAGGGTAGGGGTTAGTGAGTTTGGAGAGTGGATGAATAAAGGAATGAATGAATGACGGAATGAATGAATGAATGAATGAATGACATCTAAGATTCTAAGATTCTTCAGTCTTAGAAGTCTAGAATTGGTGGGCACCTGCATGGCTCAGTCGGTTGATTTTGGCTCAGGTCATGATCTCAGGGTGGTGAGATGGAACCCGCATCCCGCTCTGTGCTGGGCGTAGAGCGTGCTTAGGATTCTTTCTCTCCTTCTCCCTCTGCCCCTCCCCCCCACCTCTACCCTCCTCTCCCTCCCTAAGAAAAAAAAAAAAGAGGTCTAGAATTGGTCTTTAGGACTTCTAGCATATGACCTGGCCTCCCTACATCTTGCCCCAGTGCCACAGCCAGCCAAAACCTGCACCTTGCCATCTCTGAGCCTTTGTTGATGTGCTTTGTCAAAGACAAGGGGCAGGTCCTATTTGCTGGGGAAAAAGGAGGGAAATGCTTAACAGCCCCTGCTGCTGTCCAGTGAGCCCTGTCCCAGGAAAATGGTCTGAAGAGCCCTCTGGGACAAGTTCTCAGTGGGGGTGGCCAACCGTGTCCTCACTCACCTGAGCCCCCAGAAGAATGTCCAGGAAGTCCAGGTGCCTCTGGCTCTGGATCTTCTGCTGCTCTTTCTCATCCTGCAGGGCTGCCTTTCGTTCCCTGATGACCTGGTCTGGGCCAGGAGCACAGAGTGTCATTGCCTGGGGACCCATCCTCTACCCAAAGGGGGACAGAGATCCTGCAATGGCAGAGGTCCCAGAGGGGCCTGAAGGGGCTAGACTAGGCCCTGGGCTTCCTGTGGGTGGGCCCTGCGGGAAAGGCCCACCTGTGTGGTCGTGGGCTGCCTGGCAGGCCCGCAAGAAGCAGCGACCATGTGGGGTGAGCCAGTAGATGAAGTCGTTATGGTACTGGAAGGACTCAGTGCGCTGCTGCACCAGCAGAGTGAGTTCGCTGATGGCCGAGTAGGAGCTACTGCCCCTGCACAGCAGAAGAGCAGGGAGGAGGGCTCAGACCCTGACCCACGGCAGAGCCTGGGGCTCTCCCCAGCCACAGTGCTTCCTGCCCTCCCTCTCCCTGCCATTAAGCCTCCCCACTAAAGGCAGAATTTGTCTCCCCACCATGGGCAAGGCCCAGCTCCCCCCACCCCCCGCCCAAGCTGGGGCTCCCTAGGGCAGGACCCCATAACCTCTCAGACCAGGGCCCTGGAGTCCTGCCAACTCTCCTCTGAGCTGGCCTGGGTGGAGACGGTGGTCAGCCCCAAGTACCCCCCGACCTGTGGCCCAGACCGCCGTCTCCTCTGCCAAAGGTGCACTTCATGAGTGAGTCCAGTGCCATGTGGCCCACATCACAGAAGATGTCAAAGCTCTTATCGTCACGAGCCTTTTCCTCCCACTTGTCCTGGAGCGCAGAGATGGAGGGTAATGTCAGGGGGTCAGCTGGGCACTGAGCCCCTGCCCTCAAGGACCAACAACCTGTCCTTTCCCGCATGCACCAAGTCCCTGGCCTGGCCTCCGCCCCGCTGGAATGTGGGGGCAAGGCACCTTCAGGCTAGGGTGGGCCAGGAGGCAGGCCCGCACAGCACACACAGACACTGAGCCAGGCAGCCTACCTCAGGGAAGAGGAGAGCTGAGAGGTGGGGATCTCCCCAGCACAGCCTGTACACCATCAGGCCTGCAGGGACGCGGGGGAGGAGTTTTCTGCAAGGGGACTGACTAGCCCGGGTAACTTCTGGGGATGATCCAGACCTGAGACTCAGAGCCCGAGCCCTGACCTTTGGCATCCCTTTCAGAGCTGAGTTGCTAACGACATTATTTTAGGCAGTTGTGGTAGGCAGAGAATGAGGAGGAAGCGCTTCTCAGATGTGAACGACCTTTCTAATATTCTCAATTATAGGCCTCCCTCCAGTCGGCTACAGGAGGAGCCTTACTGGGGCCTCACAGAGGCCTTTGACCTAGGAAGAGGGAGGCCTG